TTGGGTTGTCTGGTATTTAATAAACAGGTTTAAAGGAGAGGTGGAGTGAAAACATGGTTGATTGTAATGCTTAGACATAGCCGTTATTAGCCATTGGGTAGGTCCACATACCATAAATCCACCGAAATTTCGAAATGGGTGGTAATCTGAGTAGTTCTTTAATTTAAGGGGTGGTAAAATAAAATAAAAAAATTAAACCGGTGGTTATTTTGAAAGTGGATACATTTTGGGCGGTGTAGGAAATATTTCAAGCATTACCCCTAGCTTGAACCCCAGTGTGATCATACACTTAAGTATGTGGCGTCCAAAGGGAAAGAAGATAGAGCAAAAGAGTCGTCAACAAGTTTTATGAACTTGTAAACCATTCACGAGGTGAAGGTTACACCCCTTAACAATCTAAGAGATCGTTAACTCCAATAGGTCTGGAACCATGACTGGTAGTTCGGGGATGAAGGTACAAATCCAACCTAAAAGAGATTGAACCTGCCCTAATAATAGGCCTCTACTTTATTCTGATCGTATTCATGTGCGCTTTCTGACTAACATGCAATCAATAGGTTTAACCCTAAACCTGTTTATTTATGTTGGTTGAATATTAATGCACAAATAAATCTATTATTGGCGATCACTTGAATTATAATCATATTAACCCTAAACAAGATTATTAATTATCTTATTAAGCGTGATTACAAATATCAATTCCCTTTAAACATGCATAAAAGGTGTGATCAAGCAATAACAATGAATATCAAGCAACATAATAATAATAATAATAATAATAATAATAATAATAATAATAATAATAATAAACCATAATAATGTTAAAGCATAATAATAGCAAGATTCTAGGCATGATACTAATAAGATTAATAACAAACCCTAGCATGTCACTAAACAATAAAAATCAAATATATATCCCTAATATGATACTAACATGAATATTAGGAAAGAAAATAGGAAGCATCATAGAAATCATAATTGATATAAGCAAATCACCCTAACATAACACTAGGAATCATAATAACAACCTAAGCATGATTTCTACATCATAATATTAATTAAAATCAATTAAAGCACTTACTTGGATGCCTCGTACCTCTTTCTAATAATAAAATACACGCGTTAGTAACTTCAAGGAAAATAATAAAATAAACAATTAAATTAAATAATTGAAAGAGAGATTTAGGACCAAACCCTCAGAAATTAAACCTTTCACATCTAGGACGAAAACAACTTCGAATTATGCTAGGTGTGTCTAAGTCTAATGTATGTGGAATTGTGTTTGTAAAAGGCTAGGCTTAGAAAGAGAGAGAGAATCAAGAAATTCTTGATGAGAGTTGATGAGAATTGGTGATTGTAGGTGAAAACTGGTTATCGAAAACGGAGTTTTTAATGCGTTATTTATAGAGAAAATCAGCCAAAAAGATAAAATATCAAAACGGAGTCTGGCGCACAAAAAATTAAACCAGCGCCAACGCTGGCAATTGGGGCCAGGCGCCAACATTAGCGCCAAGCGCCAATGCTGGCGCCAGGCGCCAAGCGTAGCGCCAGGCGCTACAGCTGGCGTTTGGCGCTGATTTAGAAAATCACGCGTTTTCTTAAAATCATATAAAAATTGCCGTACATGAGGATAAAATCGTATTTTCCTAAAAAATGCTCTTTGATTTTAATTAAAACTCTGAAAAGTCAACAAAAGTCAATTTATCAATGCTAATTGAATTAGGAATGAAAAGAACCTTCTAGAAGAATCTAGAAGACTAAAACCATTCCTAATTGCATTAGGAATGATAAATCTATATTAGGCCCTCCCCTAGATCATTTGGCCGCATATAAGGCTCAAACCGGGCCCAGTTTAATAAATTGGCCATAACTTCCTCAATATTCATCGGAATTGGGCTTATAATATATCGTTGGAAAGCTCTTGTGAAGCCCTATTCAATTGCACTACTATTGGACCCATTCATAGACCAACCAAACTGGATTGACTGTTTTCTTAAAATAGGTTTTAAAAAACAGAGAGAAGAGAAAAGGAATTAAAACTATCCACAACACTTAACTTTCCACACTTTCACTTCATTCGATTATGATTTGACGCGAAAGGTACTTATCACCGGGTTTGGTTTTGGGGAGACACAAATGGGTGTCTACAAAAGCCCCCACTCTGACTGAGTTTGGAGAAACGCAAGTTTCGAAAACGAAAGTCAAAGTATCGATAGGGACGGAGAATGATTTAGAACGTTCTGCGATCCTAAATCACTCTTGTAACGCCGATACCTGCAAACTAGCGTTAGTTAAACAGATAAAAGAGTTAAGAAACGCTTATCTTGCACCGTCGAGCACACATCTCTGAAATAACCGATTTGCTGCCGCTTTACTATTGTTTTGATGACCTCCTGCCAAGAGAATGCCATCCTGCTTGAAAACCGCTACGCTTGTAACTGCTTCCAATATTGAAGATTGCTTCGCCTGAAACGATCCTCCTCCGCTTTGATAATATTCCACGTCCAAGGGAATACCATCGAAGATTGCTTCGCTTGAAACAATCCCCATCCGCTTTGACAATATTCCACGTCCAAGGGAATACTATCGAAGATTGCTTCGCTTGAAACAATCCCCATCCGCATTAATAATATTCCACGTCCAAGGGAATACTATCGAAGATTGCTTCGCTTGAAACAATCCCCATCCGCATTGATAATATTCCATGTCCAAAGGAATACTATCGAAGATTGCTTCGCTTGAAACAATCCCCATCCGCATTGATAATATTCCACGTCCAAGGGAATACTATCGAAGACAACTTCGCTTGAAATCATCTTCAGTTGTTTGTGACAACTATCCACAATCTATGGAACGCCATCTTGCTGCTTGTTTTGACGATCTTCCGCAATCTAGGGAATGCCGTCGATCAATGTTGCTACATCTCGAGCCTTTTCTTGAATCATAGTGACAACCTTTCCAATCATAGAAAAAGTCGTCGAAGACCGCCTCATCATGAACCGCTCTTCTCATATCTTGGTGACAACCTCCACAATCTTAGCGAACGCCGTCGAAGACCGCCCATCTCGTGCTATCTTCTCAAATCTTAGGTGACAACCTCCACAATCTTAGCGAATGCCGTCGAAGACCGCCCATCTCGTGCTATCTTCTCAAATCTTTTCTCAAATCTTAGTGACGACCTCCACAATCTTAGCGAACGCTGTCGAAAATAACTTTACTTGAAGTCATCCTCAGTTGTTGCGATAATATTCTGAAGAAAAATTTCCAAAGGCCAACGCTTGTAGATCTCTAAAGCTCGCTTGAACTTTACTTCCGCTAAAACCAGTATGTCGGTGTCTCCGTGATGAGCCAATTCTTAGGTGCTTTAAGCTAAGTGAAACGATCTTTCATCAGGTCGATCACTTATTGCGATTGTAATCAAACCGACTACTTAATCATGTCAAATTGCTCATAGGGGCTAACTGGCGTACCAAGGAACCCAAAATTGTTGTTCTGAAAGGCTTCGAGCTTTGTCGCTGCTGAAATATCTCTGGCGCCAGGAATTGGCTCTGTCGCTAGATCGCCAGACGCTGGGATCTAGCTCCAGACGCTAAAAGCTATTGCCAGACGCTAGATGTTTTCGTCTGGCGCTAGGGTAGGGTCTTCCCTATTCTGCTGCACATGTATTTATTTTTTACTATAGAACTTTGCTAATCTCTTTAATTATCTTAGGGTTGACCTAAGGTTTAACGTCGCTTGGCTCATTGACTTGACACGACTCAAGGCATAAACTTGACTCGCTGTGATCGACTGACTCGAGGTTGACTCGACTCGAAGTGAAATGACACGTGTGACTCATGACCCGTGTGTGCATTGTATTGATTCGATGTGACTTAAAAAATGCAAAAAAGCAAAAAATTTCCATCATTTTTGTGGAGGGTACCGACTTTCTCCCGAAAAAGAAAGACGCGAAAAAAGAATCGATGTTTTCAACTGCATGTTGAATGAGCTTAGTCAAATGTTGTTTGATACTAACTCTCAAGGTGCAAGGATTAATCCATCCTAGGCTATCTCAATGGTTGACTCTATGATGAAAGTATTTGGGTAACTTAAGCACGGAGGCTAAGCACTTCATACTTCGTGACTCAATGACAATTATGATTGATGAGTGATGTGACAAGGCATGCTTCAGCGTTATGTTAAGATTTCATGACAAAGGGTTCCTAAGGGAAAGTATATTTGGTCATGTATCTGTGCGGTGTGTGATAGTGATTCTAAAGCTAGGCCACAAGAGCTAAGTGTGTGGGAAAATATTGTTTTTAAAAGAGTCAAATGGTGGTGACTCTTAGGCTAGGTAAGTTAGGTGTGTCCATAATTCGGATAAAAACCGAAATCCAATCCAATCCAAACCGAATTATCAATTCGGATCGGATTCGAACTTTAAATCGGATCGGATTGGATTGAGATTTTTTGAAAATTCGGATTTTCGGATCGGATCGGATTGACCCAATTCGGATCCAATTAAAACCGAACACCGAAATTTAGTTACCAATATTTATATAATGGTCTGCTGTAGTTTATAATTAGGCCTTTTAAATTTAGCCCAAATACAGACTATATAACTAAAAACCCTAAATTTGCCTCTTTCAGTCTTCATTACTCCTCAAGACCTCAACGCCTCCTGACTCCCTCATTCCCTCAACTTATCAAGCGCTCTTTCTTCATCATCTATTCATCTCATGAAAATTTAAATCAAATCATTCCTTATTCTGATCTCACAATCCTAAACCACTTAAGGTAATTTGCTACCCTTCTTCTATTGTTTTTTTTTTTGTTGAATTTCAACTAATTTTTTTTAAATTTATTCGTAATTATAATTGCAGAATTGCAGTATGTCGCGAGTCTCACGCAAAGGGGGGGTTGAAGCTAATAATGTTTAAGCTAATAATGCTGAAAGTAATGTTGATGTTGAAGTTACTTCAAACAATAAACCAAAGACAGAAAAGGGTAAGAGGAAGAGGATGAAAGACAGATCTGGGGTTTGGTATCACTTCGACAAAGAGGAAACGAGTAAGGGGCTAAAGGTAGTCTGCAAGTATTGCAAGACGGGGTATAATTGTGACCCTAAAAAGAATGGAACCAGCCCTTTGTGGGCTCATATCTCTAAATGTCGTAAGTATCCCTATGCTACTCCAAAAGAATCCAAGCAAAGCTTACTTTCTTTTCAAAATGGTAGTAATAAAGCATGTGGAGGTATTAGTGGTTTGACTTATCAGAAATTTGACCCTGTTAGCATTAGAAAAGCACTATCTTTTATGGTAATTGTTGATGAACTGCCTTTCAAGTTTGTTGAGGGTCAAGGTTTTAAGTATTTCTGTAGTGTTATGGAACCTAGGTTTCATTACCTTCTATACAAACTGTAGCAAGGGACTGTTATGAGATGTTCTTGACAGAAAAAAGAAAGCTAAAAAATGTCCTAAAACGATGCAATTCTAGGGTCTCTTTAACAACAGATTTGTGGACTTCTATTCAACAAATCAATTATATGGTTTTGACTGTTCATTTTATCGATAATGACTGGAAACTTCAAAAAAGAATTCTGAGTTTTTGTACTGTTGCAAGTCATAAAGGTGAAGAAGTGGGTAAAATGATAGAGAAGTGTTTGCTTGAGTGGGAGCTTGAAGATGTTTTTTGCATAACTGTTGATAATGCGAGTTCAAATGACACTTCTATAGCTTATATGAAAAGAAAAATCAATGGTTGGAAGACAGGGGTTCTTAAATGTCGTTTCCTTCATATGCGTTGTGTAGCTCATATTGTTAATTTAGTTGTTGGTGATGGTTTGAAATGTGTTCATGATTCAATTATTCGGGTTATACATGCTGTTAGGTTCATTAAGCAGTCTCCTGCTCGCTTGTTGAAGTTTAAAAAATGTGTTGCTGATGAAAAAATAAATAGCAAGAAGTTGTTGTGTCTTGATGTGCCGACTAGGTGGAACTCTACATATCTTATGTTACATGCTGCCCTTGCTTTAGAGAATGCTTTTGATAGATATTCAGAGGAGGATCCCCATTACAATGTAGAATTATATGTCCGGGAAGGAAATGGAACCCCTACATGTGATGATTGGGCTACTGTTAAGAGGTTTTCTGAATTTTTACAATGTTTTTATGAGCTGACTTTGCGTATTTCTGGTTCTGCATATGTTACTGCCATTCAATTTTTTCATGAGCTTATTAATGTTGCTAGAATTTTGAAAGAGTTGTGTGCATCTAGGGATGAAAATATGAGTTTGATGGCTTGTAAAATGAGGGAGAAATATGAAAAATATTGGGGGGATCCAGAAAAGATAAACTTGCTGATTTTTATTGCTGTTGTTCTTGATCCTCGCTATAAACTTGATTATGTTGAGTGGATGATCAGTGAGATTTATGATTCCAAGGTTGGTTTTTTACTCACAAAAAATTTGAGGGAATCTCTATATGCATTGTATGATGAGTATCGTGTTTTACCAACAACCGATACACCTAGAGAGGACTCAAGTGAGAGTAGGGATGATGCTCCCTTAAATGCTACTCAAAAGAAAGTTGATGTTTTGAAAAACAAGTATAAGAAACAAAGGGGGGAGAGAGGAGGAGAAATAAAGTTAGAGTTGGACAAGTATTTGGAAGAAGAAGTAGAGGAAGACTTTGATAACTTTGATGTTTTGGGATGGTGGAGGTTTCATTGCTCTAGATTTCCTACAATGGCAAAACTGGCTCGTGATGTCTTAGCTTGTCAAGTCTCAACAGTAGCTTCTGAGAGTGCATTTAGCACTGGTGGACGGATTCTTGATCCATTTAGGAGTTCCCTTTCTCCTAGAGTTGTTGAGAGTCTTGTTTGTTCTCAAAATTGGTTGCGTGACTCCCCGAATTCATTAAATCTTGAAGAATGTTTGGAGGAAGTTGAACAACTTGAAGAAGGTGATTGCTAAATCTTTTTATTTTCTTGTTTTAATTATGTATTAATATTGTTATTGATTTTAATTCTAATTATTATTTTTTTTTTATTTTTTCTCTCAATATCAAGATTTGTGCAAGATATCCATTGTTGAGCCTGAAATAGTTGAGGTTTTAGACGACTAAGCTTTTGCCTTGATTAAAGAATGCTGGTGGGCTATTTTTCCTGCTGTTTGCTGCTGTTCGTTGCTGATTTTGCTGTTGTTTGCTGCTGTTTGCTGCAACTTTTCTTCTTAAGTTGTTCCTGCTAGTCTTTTTTGTTGTAGTAAACTCTTAGTGTTGCTTTTAAGTTGTACTATTTATTTTGAACAATTTAATTAGTCTTGATGTTAAACAATTTATGTTAACCTTGACTACCGTTTTATGTTATCGTATTAGTTTATTAGACGTTATAAATCAACTTAATTTAATTCGGATTTCGGATCGGATACAAAATAACCGAATTTTAATTCGGATTGGATTGGAAGAGTAATTCGGATCGGATCGGATTGAAAAAATGAAAACCGAATTATAATTCGGATCGGATTGAATTTGGCCTAAATCCAAACCGAAAACCGAATGGACACCCCTAAGGTAAGTGATATGTCTGTTTTATATAGTGTTTTATCCCCGTCCCGTGGTCGTAATTAGTAGTGTTTTTGGCTCTTTCGGGCCACTTTTATTACTAATTTTTGTGTTATAGTGTTTTCATAGTTTTGGTTGTATTTTACAGGAAATTGCACTCTTAGAGCATTTTCCCGGGCTTTATTGGATCGACTATGGAAGCTAGAAGGACACGACCACTTTTGGAGCCCAAGATCGGTGAGAGCCGGTGATTAAGGGCTCGGTAATTTGGATCACGAGGCATTTGGACCAAGTATTCGAGACCCGGGAGGAAATATGGATTGGGCCGAGAAATCTAGCCCAATCGAAGTTCAAGCCTCGAAGAAGAAGACTGGGCCCGATCGGGCAAGCATACGCCCGATCGGGCGGCTGCGCGCATAAGTGCCCTCAAGGAAAAGGCGCGCCCGATCGGGTGAGCTAAGCTCGATCGGGCGCCTCACCCGATCGGGCGCGGCACATCAGTAAAGGGCGTTGTAAAAAAGGCGGGCCCGATCGGGCGGTGCCTCGCCCGATCGGGCGCGTGTTTTCGTAGTAGACGATTAACGTAGTTTTAATTTGTTTTAGTTTAGGACTTTTGTACGGAGTATAAATACTCCTCCATAATACGTTTTTATCACCTCTCTTCTATCTCTACTTCTTCTCTTAGATCTCTTCTTTCTTAGACTTTCTCTCTTTACTTAGTTCTCTCTCTCTTAATCTCTCTCTAAACTTTTGTTCTTAATTCTTTCATTAATTCCAGATTTATTTTGGTAACGATTTCTCTTCCTTTAATCTTATTTATTTTATTCCTTTCATCATGATTTATTTTATTACTTTGATTAATTTAGTTTTTAAATGTGTGAGTAGTTTAATTTCTAGGGTTTATGGGGATCTAATAAATAATATGAAGGGGTAAATTTGTTGTTGTTGATTATCAATGCTAGATTAATTTCCTATTGATTGATTTAATGCTCTGTGACTAGATTAGGCCTATCTTTTATGCATGAGTTTGAGAATATTGATTCAAGAATTGAGAGATGAGAATTAATGTTTAGGTCTAGTTTCAATAGGCAAGTTAATTTATAAATGGTTAAGTCAAGATTCGAGAGATGAGATTTAATACCGATAAATTAATTGTGTGATTGTAGCGAGAGCCCTTTACAATCTGGTTAGTTGATGCATTGATGGTTGACTATTATTGATTATTGGTATTACATGATAATTTCTTATTGGATTGTTTTAATGTTTTACAATTGCGGCTTGTAAAAGTATAGCAATATTAAATTGATGAATCGAGCAGATGTTAATTTGATATTAAAGGCTATTTTCAATAAGAACTTAGATCTAGTAAATTGCGAGAGCCTGTTAGATCTATGTTGATTAATAAATTGCGAGAGCCTATTAATCATGTTATTTATGCAATGTCAATGATTGATTACTATGTTTTACCCTGGAGTATTATTTATTGGTGAACCTATGCCCTAGATCCTTTTATATATCGTTTTCTTCCTATTCTCAACCTTAGTAGTTTAATTTCTTGCTCAATTATAAATATTGGTTACTTAAATAATTTATATTATAATAATTAATTAGGAGTAAAAAGACTAGTTTCCCTGTGGAGATCGACCCTACTTCCCTATCTACCTTAGTTAGTGATTTAGGTAATTATTTTTGATTAGGGGATACGACTCTACCCTGTCAGTAAGCTAATGATATAGGGATCAAGCCCCCAAGTCTAGCTCTAAGTGAATAGGTATGAACATAGGAGATCCCTTGATATGATCAATTATGAATGTAAATATGAATGCATGTTTATTACGGCCGCACCTCGATGTGAGGTTTCCTACGTATCCATTAGGAATCAGGCCGAACGTAGCTATAGCCGAACCTCGCACAAGTGTGTATACCTTAAAAAGGTCTTTTAAGGGTTGTAACGTGGTTAGGCTAAAGGTTATAGAAGAAGAGGATAAAGGCTCAAGACCCTCGATAATCCCCCAAGGTGTGCAACTTTGCTTTTGAATCTTTGTATTTTTATGCTCGAGTTTCTACTCTTTTTTAGCTCTCTCTCTTTTTTTTTTTGCTTTAGCATTTATTTTATTTTTGCAAGTGTGGGCAATCCCGATCATGCGGTCTATCACTCACTTGGAATACATGTTTCTCAGGCACGGTACCGAGCACTCGATAAGAGACGCAATCTGAGACGTATTCTTATCGAAGATATTTTCATATCAAAGACATTGGAACACTTGCCCTTATTGTACACTTTTATTTATTTTTTGCTTTTATTTTTATTTTGATCTTTTGAAATCACTCAAGCTTTTTTAGAATTGCATAAGTTGCACATTGTCCCATCCCAAGGTTAGGTAAATATGGGTTGAAAAATGAAAGGTCTATCGTTAGACAAGGCCAAAGTGGTTTACGAAGAAAGGATTGTAAATTGGAAGGGTGAAAGGCAATATGATGTGGCTACAAGGGGCGCCTCAAATCATTGGTATACCTTGTGCTTAGTTCGACATGGATTTTTTTTTTATTATTTTTTTTATATTTTTTTTTGCAATATAATGAAATGATCATATACAAGGAAATAAATGCTCATTTTATTAAAAGAAAATATATAATGATCCTACAAAATAAATCTAAGGAGAATAAAAAGGTGTCTATGCTAGACTTATTGGGGAAAGGGTAAATAAAAAAGAAATAGAAAAAAGAGGTCACAAAATCTTGTCGTTGAAGCTCGCCTCTTGTCTTGTGTTGTTTCCTTTATCATCACTCGCTCTTCTTGTTAACTGGAGGCATGGGAAGCTTGTTATTATCAATCAAATGTTAGATAGCCTCCTTTAGCT